GTGTTGGAGCAGAAAGTTCCTTATTCAACGAGAGTTACTAAAATTAAATCACTTCTCAGGGGAAAGATAATCTCCTACAATCCAGTCACACAGTGTAATTTTCAGCTTTATCAGGCTCACCTTGATCAGAGGACAGATGAGCCAGAAGCGTCCCTAAAGCAGAGCAAAAAAGTACAATTTTCATTACTTAAGTTGTCTGGTTTATCTTGCCAGAATTTGGGTTAGATCTATTCAGCTTCATTTGAGAAATAATGAGGAGAGCTTACTGCCTGTTCCACATACAGTATGTTTAAAAATACTAAGCTGAGATGCAGTAATAGCCTATGGGCTAGATACACCCCCACTTAATTAGGTGGATTTACTGCTGGGATTTTTCATCCTTCTAAGGCGTTTTAGAATATGGATTGATTCAACATTTTTCTTCAAAGCAACCTGAAAGGGTTGCGCAAAGTTCAATTTGAAAAAGGAGTTAAATGATTTTCAAGGAAGTCGTTCTTCTGAGAGAAACACTGCATAGGAACCATAGTTTGTAGCACTAGAATGCTTTGCAAGGATGGCTCATGCCTTTTTAAAATGATCAGGATGCCTCTTCAGACAGCAGTTTTACTGCAATGACATTTGGGTTGGTTACATCTGTTTGGACAGAAGTGATTGCTGATGTGTGATTATATTACACAGTAGACAAATACAACAAGGTTTCTTGACTGCACAGCTTTCGCAGCTGTACCTTATCCAAAAAGCTGACTTCTCTTCAGGAACCTGGCATCTAATGCTGAGCATCCCTCCCTCTTCCCAGTCCCCCTGAAGCCATGCATTTTATACTGTGGAGACCAACACGCACAATATAGGTAAAGCTCTGCCTTTTGTGATGGGCTATCCAGTATAGCCAGCATGTTAATCTTTATTTGGACATGTTTGAGTTACCCTTGCTTTGCAGTTGATGAAAATATTGAAATGTTGATCTTGCAGGAAGATTTAGAAAGAGGTGGCAGTGAATGAAAATAAAAAAGGGAAATCCCATTCTTTTATCTGTTAAGACATGTTTGCAATTAGTTTTTTTTGTTCCTCATATTAGAACAAAAATCTCTTTCATGTATGGTAGGGTCTTACATGAAGGGGACATTCAAAACATTTTACAGTTCTTGTTTCAAGAATTGAAACACAGTATTGTATTTTGAAACATTTTTTTTTTTTAATACGTGGAGGAGCACAGACTTTATCATATTTCTTCAATTAAATCAGAATGCAAGCTTTTAAAAAGGAAGAAAATAACCTGTTTGGTGCTGTCAGTGAATATAGTTGGAAAAAAAGATGGTGAAACAAGTAATTCTTTTACCAACTTCAGTTGATGAGCCAGGGTCCTTTGAGAAACACCAGCAACTCCCTACCTTATCTCTGGTCAGAGGTAAGTTGATGTATCTGTTATGTTGGTGAGCCTAGGTCTGATTACATAGGTCTAGATTGGCTGCATATTGCTTACAAGCTGTTCTTAAGTCTCTGCTCAGTACTGCTGGTAAGAGGCAGAAGGTCCAGCCTGACCGTTATTCATCTATCCATTTTTATTCTTAGTGACAGGAGGTTTTGTAACAGGCGTTCAGTGATGTGTTGAAGCATTTGGACATTGTCATCTGAAGGTAAACAGAAAAATACACCATTTAGATTTCCCTGTGGACTGCACAGTCTACACTGCAGCACCGGGACCCTCACGCTGCTGCCTCTCTCACGCTGCTGCCTCTCTCACGCTGCTGCCTCTCTCACGCTGCTGCCTCTCTCACGCTGCTGCCTCTCTCACGCTGCTGCCTCTCTCTCTCGCTCCGGTGTCAAAGCTTGTTTTGTTATCCAGGACTCCTGGTTGACGTGTGACTTGATGCTTTTGTCTGTTAGGACTAAGGAGAACACAGAACAGTTTTTGTAGCATTCAAGATGAAGATGAAACTACACAAGTTTCTTATTTCTGTTGTCTGTTTTAAGTGGCTCAGGTATTGCAGTTGATGGATGCAATTTTTAAGTTCACCAAGGGAGATTTTTTTTTTTTTACTTTGTATGTAAATGGTCTTGTAACCACGATCATGGTGATGTGAAAGAAAAGGTTTCAAGGGAGAGGTAATAGCTTCTATTAGACCGACAAAGGGCTTATGTACTTTTCCCAGCTATACTGGTGTAATAAAACAACCTTACATATGCATACCTGCACACACGTGTGCGAGTATATACATAAAGTAAGCACCCAAACACAAGCGTTGGGTCTCTGCACTAAAACACTGTAGTTCTAAAGTCCAAAATGGGATATTGAAAATTCCAGTTTTTACTTTACATCTTGAATTATGCCTAATTTTTTTTTTTTTTTTTCCCAAGTGCTTTGGGAGGGGTTTCTTGTTTCTGCTTCTCTTAACTGTCCAGTACAGAAAATTGTGCTCATCTGCCTTCTGGAGGGCTCTTTTTCCTTTAAGTCGTTACATCTGGCTATATTGTTAAAGTACTTTCTTTTTTCTTTCTTGAACGGAAGAATTACAAAGATGTTGCTTTCCAAAGATTTGGCAAGTTATAGTAAAAACTCCACTTTTAAATTAAAGAACGTGATTATTTTAAGTGGTGTGTGTATATATAATAATATATTATTATTATATATAATACAGATAAACTATAATTATTATTAATAATAATAATTACAATTTCAAAATATATCCCTTAGGAAAATACTATGGTTGCAAGCTTTTCATTGCAGAAACTCTCAGTGTAGAAACTTTTCATTGCAGTTGTGTCACTCACTATGGCACAGGAAAACTAGATCTAGAAGTGTTGTTGAAGGAATTCAATACTTGAAAGACGCATGTCATACAAGAGGTAGAACAGTGGCTAAAGTGAAAAAAGGCAAGATAGATTAGTACAAATGCCTCTGCATCTCCACCACCGATACCTCATGCTGTACTTCACAGCTT